CGACAGTATAGTGAAAAAGTGTAACGTTCGCTATGGTGATAAATACATTATTATTAGCGAACTAAATATACAGAGAAGAATTATAAATAAACGTATAAAGAAAATACTCACAATTATTTATATTATTTGGCGGTGGTAGGAGCTCGGACGTTGACTGGAGTTCGTTCTAGAGTTCCCGTTCATTAGTTTCTCCTTCTTTTATCAGCCACATTTCGCGCAACGCCCCATGAACATCTCGCGCTTGCGTGTGCAAAACTTTGGTTCGAGCGGAAAGCTCTGCCAAAGCATGACGCGTGACTCTCACGCCTGTTGATATCCGTTTTCTAAAAAATATTAGAATATGAAAGATGAATCAACCGCATCATCGTCGTTAATAACGTGCAAATACTTACAACAATTTTTCGACGTCTCCATCTATTTCAAAATCGACCCGAAACGAATTTGGGCTTTGGTGTATCACCCCACGAGCTTCGGTTCGCAAATCGGTTGCCATCATTGACACTGCCGCAGCATTTCTCTCTATCTCGTCGGCTGCTACCGTGACATAATCAGCCACGTCAATAATTTTATTAATCACATCCATCGCTCGTGTTTCAACAATACTTTGTTCTGCGAAACGATCTCGCGCTTCTTTTATGAGCGGTTAATACGCATTTCGCTCGCATGGAAACCTTTTCGGGGCGACCCCGCGTTCCTTCTATAAACAGACGGCGATATGATTTTGTCGATCGCAACATTTTCTCCGTTTCTCGAAGCGATCTCTGGCTCCTTTTATAAACAGACGGCGATATGATTTTGTCGATCGCAGCATTTTCTTCGTGTTTCCTCGAACGAATTATCGAGAATCGCGCTTTCATCGAATGAGTCATTGATATATCGCGCATAAACAAAATAAAAAGCGACCGAAGAGACGCTTTCTCGACGAACCATCGAGCATTGCGCGTCGCATAAATCATCGGTTCATCTGGAATAAACAAATTAAAAATAAAAGCGATAAAGACGCTTTTTTTGGAAAGAACTGCGCTTTTCCTTTAACCAAACCCTTTTTTTGTAACGGAGGGGAAATGCCTTTACGCCTATCCCGCCTCAATGGGGTTCGAGGCGGGGTTATGTGGGACTACCCCCGACCTAAACAAACGGCCGGGGACTACCCACTAAAACCCCTCCGGGTGGACCATCTCGGGCGTTTCAGAGGGCCTCTCTGGAAACTGGCATATGCACTACATCAGAGAGGTCCTCCGCCCACGAGCCATGCCTTCTCGGGAAGGAGTTTATCCCTCCCCACTGTCCCTGTATGTTGTAGGGACATCAGCTCATATCAGCGAGAGGGGGACCACCGCCCCTCTCGCCTCCCTCCCGGTGTTGTGTCCCGAGGAGGGCGTGGCCGGCACAGGTACCCCACCTGGGCTCTGACCACCGGGCCCGGCCTCGGGTAAGACGTCCGCGACGAAATAGCGGACGTCCCCCGGGTTCGCCGGGGCCCTGCGCAATCGCAAGAGGAGTTCGATGGGGCCGGGTCCGATCGCGACCCAGCTCTCTCCTCCGCGCGCGCCCCCCTAGTCTGGGGCGGGTCGCCGGAGTCGCCGCAAGCCAATGTGGCCCGGTCCCCGTCAACCTACCCCGGGGGGTCCTTGGGGCGCGACGGCGTGTCGCGCCACTACGACCAGGGGTCGTGAGGGGCCCGCGGGTCTTGCCCATAAAGGGCTCTTCCCGCGTCTCCCCCCCGGTTTCCCAGGCCGTCCCATCTCGGGACACCCGTTTGGACACGAAACGATTGGACACCGCTCCATTGGATACGCAGTATTGGATACAGAACGATTGGACACTGCACGATTGGACACAGAATTATTGGACACCGCACGATTGGACACTGCACGATTGGACACCGCTTGATTGGACACTGCACGATTGGACACCGCTTGATTGGACACTGCACGATTGGACACCGCTTGATTGGACACTGCACGATTGGACACCGCTTGATTGGACACTGCACGATTGGACACCGCTTGATTGGACACTGCACGATTGGACACCGCTTGATTGGACACTGCACGATTGGACACCGCTTGATTGGACACTGCACGATTGGACACCGCTTGATTGGACACTGCACGATTGGACACCGCTTGATTGGACACTGCACGATTGGACACCGCTTGATTGGACACTGCACGATTGGACACCGCTTGATTGGACACTGCACGATTGGACACCGCTTGATTGGACACTGCACGATTGGACACCGCTTGATTGGACACTGCACGATTGGACACCGCTTGATTGGACACTGCACGATTGGACACCGCTTGATTGGACACTGCACGATTGGACACCGCTTGATTGGACACTGCACGATTGGACACCGCTTGATTGGACACTGCACGATTGGACACCGCTTGATTGGACACTGCACGATTGGACACCGCTTGATTGGACACTGCACGATTGGACACCGCTTGATTGGACACTGCACGATTGGACACCGCTTGATTGGACACTGCACGATTGGACACCGCTTGATTGGACACTGCACGATTGGACACCGCTTGATTGGACACTGCACGATTGGACACCGCTTGATTGGACACTGCACGATTGGACACCGCTTGATTGGACACTGCACGATTGGACACCGCTTGATTGGACACTGCACGATTGGACACCGCTTGATTGGACACTGCACGATTGGACACCGCTTGATTGGACACTGCACGATTGGACACCGCTTGATTGGACACTGCACGATTGGACACCGCTTGATTGGACACTGCACGATTGGACACCGCTTGATTGGACACTGCACGATTGGACACCGCTTGATTGGACACTGCACGATTGGACACCGCTTGATTGGACACTGCACGATTGGACACCGCTTGATTGGACACTGCACGATTGGACACCGCTTGATTGGACACTGCACGATTGGACACCGCTTGATTGGACACTGCACGATTGGACACCGCTTGATTGGACACTGCACGATTGGACACCGCTTGATTGGACACTGCACGATTGGACACCGCTTGATTGGACACTGCACGATTGGACACCGCTTGATTGGACACTGCACGATTGGACACCGCTTGATTGGACACTGCACGATTGGACACCGCTTGATTGGACACTGCACGATTGGACACCGCTTGATTGGACACTGCACGATTGGACACCGCTTGATTGGACACTGCACGATTGGACACCGCTTGATTGGACACTGCACGATTGGACACCGCTTGATTGGACACTGCACGATTGGACACCGCTTGATTGGACACTGCACGATTGGACACCGCTTGATTGGACACTGCACGATTGGACACCGCTTGATTGGACACTGCACGATTGGACACCGCTTGATTGGACACTGCACGATTGGACACCGCTTGATTGGACACTGCACGATTGGACACCGCTTGATTGGACACTGCACGATTGGACACCGCTTGATTGGACACTGCACGATTGGACACCGCTTGATTGGACACTGCACGATTGGACACCGCTTGATTGGACACTGCACGATTGGACACCGCTTGATTGGACACTGCACGATTGGACACCGCTTGATTGGACACTGCACGATTGGACACCGCTTGATTGGACACTGCACGATTGGACACCGCTTGATTGGACACTGCACGATTGGACACCGCTTGATTGGACACTGCACGATTGGACACCGCTTGATTGGACACTGCACGATTGGACACCGCTTGATTGGACACTGCACGATTGGACACCGCTTGATTGGACACTGCACGATTGGACACCGCTTGATTGGACACTGCACGATTGGACACCGCTTGATTGGACACTGCACGATTGGACACCGCTTGATTGGACACTGCACGATTGGACACCGCTTGATTGGACACTGCACGATTGGACACCGCTTGATTGGACACTGCACGATTGGACACCGCATCATTGGACACCGCACTATTGGACACCGCACGATTGAAACCTCGCTTTGCGTGGAAAGTTGTAAACCTATGTAGAACCTTACTACGCATTAAAAAGTATATGCGTGGAGGCAGTACGTTCCGCCCCCCCTACGGGAAGGCTCCACTTCCGGAAGATATAACCTAACCCATACCTATTTCTGATTTAAAACTAAAATTTATACTTCTATTGTGCCCTCTTTATGCATAATTATCGGTGTCCAATCGTGCAGTGACCAATCGTGCAGTATCCAATAATGCGGTGTCCAATCGTGCAGTGTCCAATCGTACGGTGTCCAACCGTGCAGTGTCCAATCGTGCAGTGTGCGTGTCCAATCGTGCGGTGTCCAATCGTGCAGTGTCCAATCGTACGGTGTCCAACCGTGCAGTGTCCAATCGTGCAGTGTGCGTGTCCAATCGTGCGGTGTCCAATCGTGCAGTGTGCCTTTCCAATTGTGCGGTGTCCAATCGTGCGGTGTCCAATAATTCTGTGTCCAATCGTGCAGTGTCCAATACTACGTGTCCAATCGTTCCCTGTCCAAACGGGATACGCCCCATCTCGGTCACGAGCTCCCCGGCGTCCTCTGGGGAGTCGCTCCCGTTCTTTCGGCCTCCTCCTTCTGGAGCATTACCGCTTTACAGAAGGAGGAGACCGCCCTCCAGGACTTCTCGCTCTCGAGCATGACCGCTGCAATGCTCGAGAGCGAGAAGTCAGTCTCGCCAATTATTCCGCCCACGCTGGACAAATTTCCAGCGTGTGCTGCGTCGTGTCTTCGTCCCCGCCGCAATGGTGGCAGCGCGCGCAGTCCTCTTTACCGATGCGGCACAGGTAAGAACCGAAGCATCCGTGGCCCGTAAATACCTGCGTCGCACAGTAAGACATCTCGCCACCGGCCCGATCAGCCTATTTGACCAAATGGGGACGGATGGCCTCGACGACGCGCCTCCCCGAGGTATCTCGGGGATCGGAGAAGTGTTCGTCCCACCTCTCCAGGGCGCGTCGCCTTGCTTGGAGTCTCACAGCGGCCTTAACCCTTGTGGTCAACGCCACACCTATCCGCCGAACTCCCGCGTACGCCTGTACACATGTGCGTACATGTCAGCGTAGAGCTCGACGGGCGGCGTCCCCGCCAACAATGTGGCCGCCGTGTGCGACACCGTCCTGTAACCGCGGACAACCCTAATGGCCACCCTCCGAAATACTCGGCGCAGCAGCATCCTGCCGCACCTTTTGGTCATCAGGGCGTCCGCCCACACCGGTGACCCATAAAGGGCCACCGCCCGGACGGTGTTCGCATATAGGCGGCGCACTCGGCCATCCGGGCCCCCAAGATTGGGCAAGAGTCGGCTCAGGCTAATTGCCACCGACTCCGCCCTGGGGGCCAGGAGCTCAAAGTGCCCGCCAAAACTCCAAGCCGCGTCCAGGTAGAGACCGAGATATTTAAGTCGGTCTCTCACCCGAACGGAGATGTCACCTACAGTGACATGAGCCTCAGCGGGGGGAGCCCCATGCTCCCCCCTATGCATGAATAGCGCCTCGGTCTTGTAAGGCGCTACCTGCAGGCCCATGCGACGGATTGCGCGGACAGCGCACGCTACCCCGATGTTGGCGGTAGAGACCGCATCCCCCCAGCTCTTTCCCCCGGCTAACAGCAGAGTGTCGTCTGCATAGCAGACGACGCTGCAGCCGGGGTGGAGAGCACACGGGATGACCGAATCCTGGCGGCCACCCGCGTCGAGGGGGGGGGGGCCTCGGATGGAAAGAGGGCCTTCAACACACCTTCGAGGACCTGGGGTTCCAGGGACTCCGTCACGGGGGGCGCCTAAAATCTGAGCTTGTCCATGACAAGCTTATATGGGCACCTCATGGGTCTGCGTCCAGGGAGCGCAGGAGGTCATCCCACGTTCGGGCCTTGGCCCGCCTGATCGTGGTCTTGGGAGCGGCCGAGCACCCCGTGGCGGGCAGCGTTAAGGACCACCTCTATATAGAGGTGATCAGAGAGCGCCTCACACTCCGCTACCCGCCAACTAATAATCATTCGTGCGGCGGAAGGGGTGGCCCATGTCAAATCCGGGACCGACACCCCCTGCCACCGCACTAGGGTGCTCCTCGACCCCGTGTTTATAAGACACAGGCCGAGTGCCGCCGCCCAATCCTGCAGGGCCTCGCCTCTGGCGTCCGTGAACCGGGAACCCCAACGCGTCAATTTTGCGTTGAAGTCCCCGGCCACGATGATTGGACGGGGCATCTGTCGGCGAAAACAGGCCGACACCCCGTCCAAAAACGCCTCGTACTGGACGAAGCCCACGTTCGGGGAGATATAACACCCTAGCACTGAGATGGGCCCCCATCTGACCACCGCCACTCCCGCCCCGGCCTCGACCGGTGTACAAGGCGAGAGTGTGGGATCATTCCTCCACGTGATTGCGACGGAGCCTGTCCGGTTGCCAATCCAACATGGACTGGCTTCCGGAACTTGGTATGGCTCCGCCGCGATCCCCAATCCGAAACCACGCTCAGCCAGGCCGTGCAGGAAGAGGTCCTGCGCCCGGCGAGCGTGGTTCAGATTGGCCTGCAGTATGCCCAGGGGCATTTATTTATTAACCCCCGGGCTCCGCCATCATCACCTTCGCTAAAGAAGCGGGGGGTGTGGCGGCTGCAGACCGGGCCCTCGGGGGCCTTTTTTCTTTAAGGGCCTCCGTCGAGGTCCCACTATCCTCCGCCCCGCGCTTGCGGGTGTCGGAGGATGCCGCGGTAATCTCGGCCAGCTTAACTGGCCGAGGTGTTTTCGCGGTACTTACCGCCGGGAAAACCT